AGGTGAGGTGAGGTGGGGTGGGGGAGGGGGGACTGCACACAGGCACATGGACACGCACATACAGACACAAACACACACATGGGTGCACACATGCGGACACACGCATATGGCCACCCACACACACGCTGACACGTACACACACGGATGCACGCATGGACACGGACGCACACAGACATGCATATGGACACACTCACACAGAGGCACATGGATGCGCAAAAACACAGATCACGCGTGTATGTGCCCCCTCTGTACACGCGTGACAGGCCGCGCTTGGCCCCCTTCGATCAGCTCCATCCCATCGGCCCCAACTTGCAGCCGTTTGCAGACCCCTCATTAGCGCCGGCACTTCGTTATCCTGCCTGTTTCGCAGCGCGCGTCACCAAAGCCGCGAGAGCCCTGTAGGCATTTGTGCGCCTCCTGATGCTGCGTTCCCGCCGTGCAGGGATTACAAGGACGCAGCCGGTCCGAGGCAGAGCCCCCCTGCGCCGTGTGTGGGGCAGCCTGCTTGGGCTTCTCGGGTGCGTCGGCTCTGAGGCACCCGGCTTATGTTGTCTCTGTTGTTTCTTTCCCCCTTAGAAGCTGATAGTGGGATCGACGTGCTGTCCGTGAAGTCCCTGCGCCCCCTGCAGCCGTCGGCCATCTCCCTGCGCCAGGTAATCTTTCCACGTCTGTGCAAAACATTTGCTGGGCGCGCAGCGTTCGGCCCTTTCCCCACCCGCCCTTCACGGAGAAAAAAACGTTTGAATTAAAACCTCGCGGAAATGTTCACGTGCAGCAGGGGCCCCGAGGGCGAGGAACAGCATCGTTTCCACGCACGGTTGGTCGTTATGGCTTGGGGCGACGGCTTGTGAATCGGAATCGGGAGGCTATTCAGACGCTTGAACTAGAGAGCACGCCCGCCGGGCGAGCGGGTGAATGTCCCACTTCCCAGTTGCGCTTATTTCATGGGCTGCAACTGGCAGCTTTGCTGGCGTCTCGCCTTTCATCGGGCCGTTTCTAACTTGCTTGTCCCGCTCCCCCCGCCCCATTCTGCTCCAGCCCGGGAGCCTCCCTTCCACTGTCCCAGCAGGGGTTAGGCGAGTCCCTGCCCTTCAAACCAGACATGGGGCGTGGGATGCTGAGGGGATTTTTGCAGCTGAATGAAGCTCTGCTCCTCTTGGGCCTGCGGGACTTTCTATAACGCAACCAAGTTCCCACATCCTCCCAAATGCCCAGGACATTACTCCTTCTCCCCGGGAGGCTGGGGAATTGAGCAGTTCTCATTAGGCAGTGTTCGTGCATCTCTTCTCTATCAGCCGGGCAAATGTGAGGTCCGTTTTTACTTTTGCTTTAACAACGTTAATGTGAAATAAGTGTCTGGGCAGCGGGTTGGCTGCATCTCCTTGGGCCTTTGTGTAGCTCATGTAATGTTCTCCCTGCTCCCCGAACAGCAATGGCAGCCTCTAGCAGCAGCAGCAGCGAGGAGGAGCGCAGCCTCCGAGAGTGTGAACTCTACGTGCAAAAACACAACATCCAGCAGCTCCTGAAGGATTGCATTGTCCAGCTCTGCACCGTGCGACCTGAAAGACCCATGGGATTCCTCAGGGAATACTTCGAGAGGCTGGAGAAGGTAAAGGTGCGGGGGCTGGGAGGAGAAGGCAGCCGCCTGAGTGCATTTGGCCTCTCAAAGTCACTTAGAAGAAGAGCCGGGGTTGGGATCAGCCAGTGCTTTTATTGGTTTGTTCAGGTTTGGGAGCAAGGCCAAGCGGTTGTTTGGGAAAGAAATGATTTCTCCGTAGCCTGACGCCAGTCGCTAGTGAAAGCGTCTACAGCCAAACACGTATGTGTGCGATGGGGGATGTGAATGGGATTGAGCTGGATACAGAGAATAACCTCCTGATCAAACGTGGTGGTGGGAGTGGGTAGGATGGACAGTCCGATTTCCAGCCTCCGTTTTTGCCTGGCTCTAAGGGAGGTTGGTGTTGGCCCTCTGCTCTCTCGTATCGAGTCTGACTGGTTTCTACACTGTCCCAGACATGTAAGAGAAGGGGCAGATTTGTAATAGCCAGCTAGACCTGGGCGTGGAGTACTAATACCTGGCCATGGGGCCTCTCTTGGAGCACTGGTGCCCAGACGTTTAATGGCTAGGCTTGCCCTTTGCTTTCTGCCTGGAATGTGGTGTTGCTGTGTTGTGCTGGAGCTTTCTGTCCCTGAGGTGCATCTGCGAGCGAAGTGAGACTTGCACACGCTCTCTGTAAAGTGCTCTAGGTCCCTGTGGATGGAAATCATTATTTGAATGGGTTTCGTAAGGCAGCGTCCACCCGGGAAGCTAACAGCAGCCAAATGGAGCGCTTGGGTTATTACTGAACATACCTGCTTCTTACACCCAAACACGCAGCAAAATGCTTTCTAAGGAGCCTGATTTGAGTGTGAAGTGGGGAGGGAGGGTTGCTCTTCGACAGGCCGTGCACCAAACGAAAAGCACTAGCAAATAACACGGCCATCATGGCTTTCACGCGACCTTCGGAGACAGCCGCTTCTATGGTCACTATTTGTGTCACGTAGACCATAGCTATAACTTTGCTTTTGTTTCCTCCTGCATTGATTCCCTTAATCCGGTGCATTTGAGCTAGGAGCTTTTCCTGTGTCTGCCGCAATGATCTGTGTAAGAGGGAATGGTGGGGAACCCCTAGGCAGGTCTTGGGAGAGTTTTTGGTGAAACCCCATAACTCAAGAAGGCTCCCCTTATTCTGTGATCTGGGACTAGAATGAGACAGATCCCAGTTCTCTGCTTAGCTGAATGTGTAGTTGCATCTTAAAGAGCAGCTGCATAAAGGGTTTCTAGTGAGCTGGGCTGGATCTCCAGCTCTTACAAATTGCTCTGGGTGGGGGTTTGGGTTTGGAGTGGTTTCTAACTGCAGGTAGGTTCCCGAATTCTGCAGTGCGCTGCTTTTGCTGTAATTGTTATGGACACTGCAGGATGCACGCCTCGCTGTACTCGTGGGTTCTGGCTTTGTGTGGTGGACGAGGTGTAAAGCAGGGGCGGGCAATTATTTGGGCCTGTGGGCCACGTTGGCAGTTCTGAAGAGCTGCCATGGGCCGGTCAGCACCCCCACCCCCAGAACAGCAGGGAGCCCACGTACCCTGCAGCTCCTCCCTGCCACTGCCGACAGTGCACAGCCCCGGGCCTGGCCTGCCTTGCTCTGGACTCGGCCTGGCCAGAGGGGAACAGCTGGAGCCTGTCCGCAGCCCTGACCCCGTCCTGCCCTGCGCCTGCTCTGCACTGCCCACTCCGCAGAGCAGTGCCTGGGCAGAAGCTGCTGCTCGCGGGGGGAAGAGGAAAAGTGGCCTTCGCTGCCTGTGCTCCCCAGCGGTTCCTCTCCACTACCGCCTCCGGGCTGCTCAGCGGGGCAACGATGGCAGTACAGAGGGTCGGGGCTCTGAGCTTGGGTTTTGGCTGGTCTGGAGCTGGTCCACTCCACTGGGCTGAGTCCGGAGCAGGGCGGGGTGAACTGGACTCGGGGCTGTGCGCATGGGTCCCCACCAGTACCAGCGGTGGCAGCAGCTGGAAGGAGCTGCTGCCGCCTTGGCTTCCTAGAAGGGCAGAGCTGCCCCAGCCCTGCTGTGTACCCAGGGGGTGGTGGGATGTGCCATGGGCTGGATGGTGCCTGGGTCAGGCAGGACTGAGGAACCCTTGGGCCTGACAAAGTCCCTCCGTGGGCTGGATCCAGCCCATGGGCCGTATTTTGCCCACCCCTGGTGTAATGAAGAGAAATTGGCCTCCGTGAGCAATACGCAACAAAAGCAACATTTAGTCTTTCCAAAGGTGTTTTAAGAAAAGCTGTGCCGAACTCTCAACTTCATGCCACCTGTTCAGTGTTGAATAACTTAGGGGAGACCTTAGTTTAGCATCACACAAGCCACGTTCACACTGAGCTCAAGTCTATGGGAGGGTTGAAAGCACTTCCTATTTACAGTTTCCCCCAAAATGGCTTGTGTGTATTTCATGCAAAGTCCTTGTGTGGCAAAGAGATGGCCCTGGGCAGTTGGCGCTGGCGCTCTGATGGAAGGTGCCCACATGATGTGTAGGAAATGCCTCGGTTGATCTTTACAGAGGAGGAGGTTGCTGCAGCTGACCAGCTTCCCCTTGCAGCCTGCTCATGCTAAACTTGGCTTTGAAGTCTAACCAGGTGTCCCAGCACCTACCCAGCTATCGAATAACAGAGCAGCGGGCAGGCAGCGCAGCACAGGATGTCCTTTGACATCTAGGGCTGGAAAGCACAACTGTGCGGCACTATTATTAACCGGCTCTAGCCCAGCCCAGCTCTGAGATTTGAACAGGAATGCTGCCCTCGCCGCTTCCCAGGGCCAAGGTGCAGGCTGGTCTGAACGGAGCCGTTGCTGGGCCACTTCCTCCTGTTAGACTGACAGGGCAGAGGCTCCATGGGGAAAATTGATGAAAAAAATAAAATAGGGAATGTGAAGTCCCAGTGGAATAGCTCAGTGGTCTCCAAACTTTTTTGATCGTGCACCCCATCAGTAAAAAATTTTTGAGCACGCACCCCCAATATATGTATATTTATATAAATATAAGTAGAAGTTCTGATATTTTCTTCCTGCACCCCAATGGATTGTCTTGTGCACCCTACTTTGGAGACCACTGGAATAGCTGAATAGATGTCACCGTTCAGCGCTTCCTCTGCGCTACTGCTATTTAAATGTCCTTTCCCACACGGTGTGCGTGTTACTCTGATTACACTGTGGCATAAAGGTGACCTCAGTTTGTTTAAATCTGCTTTTGGGCTTCTGCTGAGACATTAAAAACCATAAAACGGTTATGGCCGTCTGTAAGAATCAACCCCACTCTGTTCCCCACCTGCATGTTGGTGAGGAAAGCTCTACGAGTTAAATGCCTGCCTTAAAATAAAGATGTTTATGCTCTTAGTCTGTGTGTGGCAGACTGAGGCCTGTTGTGTTCCTTTTTCGGTGCTAGCAAGTCTGTGTTGGCCCTAGCGAATAACAAAAAGCTGGTAGCTGTGTAGCACTGTCAGCTAACACGTGATGGCAGGTGTGTGGGTCCCTTTACAGGCCAGAGGGGAGATGCTGAAAACTAGGATTTTTAACTGAGTTCTGCTGAGGCAAGGCCTGCTCGGGGAATACCAGCATGGACCTGCGCCCTGCTGGAGTCTCCTGAATCTCTCCCTCTCTGGGAGTCTGTCTGATGCAGGAAGGGTTCAGCACCCTCCCTGGATGTACGCCTTGGGCACACTCTCCCATGATCGGGAGCTGCACACCTAGGTGCTCATCGCAGCGAGTGATTTGTCTGCGAAGCAAAGGCAGGGCTGGGTGCACGGGAGGACTTACCTTGCTGTCCTGGGCTTAAGGGAGAACTTTGAACTTCCATTAGTTTTCTTTTGTGTTTCCCCCCAGTGTCTAGAGAGCCACATTGACCTGTGCTGGCCCAAGTTAAATACAAACAGCTTGGAAGCAGCTGAGCTGCACCAGAGCCACGTGCTGAGGTTCATGTTTAGAAGGCTTTGCAGTATCTCTTATAGGATTTAATTAATTAAATCCTATAAGAACCTCCTCTGGCAGGCGACAGAGTCAGTGCAGTTCAAAGGACACAAGGAACCCTAAAATAAGAGCGCACAAATCCTTACACGTGTGCAGTCCTGCTGGAGTTTGCAATGCTACAGAGTCACCTTATGTTTTCCAGGTCTTTGGCCAAGTAATAAATTCATTCCCTAAAAAAAAGATATGACTGGGTTGCTTTATCTTGCTTATCTGACCCCAGAACCTTTTGTATGGACACATGAGAGTCTGAACTAGTGCCCTGGTCCTGAAAGCTGTCGGAAGGTCAGGGCCCACACCACAAACCGCCCCTTGTCACGTGTGACACGCGAGCTCCCCCCATTGGTAAACACGAGTGCTCCTGTGATGTGCAGGGCTCACACATGAGGGGAAAGCGGCATTCTTTGCATCTCAGATGAGATGATTGGATTGCAAACCCTCTGGGGAAGGACTGTACCTTACCTGGCTCGTGCAGTGACTCTGACTCAGGGAGACCTTGATGTTACTCCAGTAGGAAGGATTTAAGCTCTGGGATGATCAAAGGGCCCCAACTGAAATTACCCCCTTCTGCTGTGGCAGGAACACGGTCTCAAATCTGTGTCCTGAAGTAAATCTGGAGTGGGCTGCTGCCTTCCTTTCTCCGTAGAGCAGGTTGATTCCCCTCCTGCTTTAGCAAGCTGCTTGCACAGGAGAGGGTCTCTTTTAGAGAGAGAATGGGAATGTTAACTGACAGTGAGCAGGGGACTGCACCTTACTGCTGCCCTTGAAACTTACTAGGCTTCAAGTGGTCTTAATACGTATTTATGTGCACTGAGCCAAGGGAGTCAGCCTGTCTGCTTCGGATTCCTTGCGATGGCTATTACGTACAGCCCCACTCGTGATAGTGCCCGTGTGACAGTGATGGCAGAGGGAGTATCTGGGCGGCCTTGTCGCCAGTGCCGTGGAAGGGCGCACTCAAGTGCTGGGGTTTCAGTCCAGCACTTTCATTGTCATGGTGGTTTTCACCAAACCTAGATGTAGCAGCTTGATCCTTTTCTTGCTCGTGGAAAGAGCAAGCGCTGAAATGTGACACTTCCATTAATGCACAAGGGGCAGGAAGTGAAGCTTGACTGATGAGGCCAGTGCAGGCTCGTTGGCCAGCTGAGCAGGATAAACATTACAGGGAGTTTACATTTTTATCTGCCTGCTTTCTCCCCGCTGCTCTCCAGTTATACATAGCACTGGAGCGGCTCTGCCTGTATCTCCAGAGCAGAGGATGGCACCAAAGAGGCTGCTGCCCAGGATGAGGGAGGAGGGGGCAGTTTGATCAAGGACTCTGGGCAGAACGGGCACTGAGATTTGAAAAGAAATGCTGTCTTCACCCCAGCTCTGGGGTCCTTGCAGAGCTGCTGGTTCCTGGGTGTTTAAGCCTGCATAGAGGGTGGTCAGGGAGCTTAGCTGAAGCTGTTATGGCTTTGAACACTTGGGCTCCAGGTGTCTCGCTACATCAGACCTGTGCTTAGTCCATTAAGTCAGCTCTACAGTACTGAGAGGAGCCCGCCTGTGTCAGACTAGCAAGGGAATTTGATTCCAGTCGGAAGAGTCTGCGGTGTTGCTAATGACAGTACACAACAGGAGCGCATGGGCCGGACGTGCATAACCTGACATAGCTGCCAAATGTGTGGCTTGGACTCTAGCATCCTTCCTGCAGCTCACTTACCAGCACCATTCAAGTTCTTTTCTCTTAAAATAGCCCCAGGAGGTTAAAGACCTGCTCGGTCAATGGCTTGACCTTGTTTCCAGCAACTCCTCTGGTAACGTGGTTTACTGGGCAACTTGTCCTCTCCTTGAGTTCAAAGGTGTGGCCTTGCCTGGCTAAAAAAAATCAGCTTCCTTGTGAGCAGCAGTAAAGCAGGGTCCCTGCCCTGCAGAGCAGTTCTGCTCAGAGGGTGAGCCTGCTAGTTTATGCTGGTAGGGGTGCGAGTGGCAGTGACAGGCCCTGCATATGTGACACTCATATCTGTTATGCTGCCTTGCAACACTTCTCTTCCCAGGCAGGACAGCTCCCTTTTCCCATCTATCTTAATGCAAGATGAGCCGCAGGCAGGAAGCGCGCTGGCCCTGGCACGCTGAACTGGAACCCGATACGTGGCCGTGCTTGGACTCTGGTGGATTGTGTGACACTGAAACATCTTCTCCTTCCTGTCCAGGAGGAAGCAAAGCAGCTGTTGAACCAACAGAAATCGGGTTCACGCTCGGACTCACGGGAGGATGAAATCTCCCCTCCTCCTCCCATGAACCCTGTGGTAAAGGGTCGGCGAAGGCGCGGGGCCATTAGTGCAGAAGTCTACACAGAAGAGGATGCAGCGTCTTATGTCAGAAAGGTGGGCTCTAGTCACTGCTCCCTGCCTCTGACTTAGAGCTGTGGTGATATAAAGACCCTCTATTCCCATGCTCCTGGCTTTCCTTCTTCCCTTCCCCTCCCCACAGTGGCTTTGCACAAAGACACAAACAACTGGTGTTTTATGCCTGATTTCTGGGTAAAGCCCAGCTGGCATGGCCCTGCTAGCCCGTGTGACACAGCAGGCGCACGTGTGTGGTATTTACTCTCTCTCTCAGCTTAGAGCAACCTGCTGCATCTGGCCCAGAGATCTCATGTCCATCTGGGCCATTTCCGGTTCTGTACACGTTGTGCCCCTTCCACCCTGGTCTCCCTTGGAAAAACCTGAGACTTCCCCTGGCTCCCTGCCCTGTCTGTTTGTGTCCTGCAGAGCAGCGTCCCGCTATCCTCTCCTGACATGCCCCTTTCCACAAGCAGCCCCTTGGCATCTCTGTGTGGGAGCAGGGGCAGACTTCATCCTGGAATCATGTTTTAGTAGTTGCATGCACTACCACCCCATTTTCTTTTTGCCAGATCCCCAGGGAAGATACTTCCCAGCTTTCATTCTTGTGTTGGTGTGCTTTTCTGAAAGACGAATACTCATGTTTTGTGGCTGTGCGTGGGTGAACGTCACTGGCACAGCGCATGCAGAGGTTATTTGTAATGAGAGAGAACGTAGACTACAACTTTTTATTGCTTTCTAGGTTATTCCCAAAGATTACAAGACTATGGCTGCTTTGGCAAAGGCCATTGAGAAAAACGTGCTGTTTGCCCACCTGGATGATAATGAAAGGAGGTAAGAACTTATCGGGTAACCTTCCCCCGCTGCGCCAGTGGGGCGCTGACACTGTAGTTTAACCTTTTTAGGATTTAAAGAACACATTCAAATCACAACACAAAGCTGTGCAGCTTTTAGTGCCATTGAGCTTCTCTCTGGATAAGAGGAGAGGAGTCATGGAGAACAGATCTCCAAACTGGCCATGCTCATGAGCCCTGGAGGTGTTCAAGAAGAGGTTGGACAACCACTGGTCAGGAATGACACAGGCATAGCTGTGCTTTTGTTCTCCTGTGGGGATTTCCCAGGCTTTGGTTTGTGGAGGGGCTTTGGTTTGTGGCCCCTCCATTCCCCACCTTCTGCTGCATGTTTCAGTGTTTTTAGGCCTTCCTCAGAGGCCTTGGGTGTTGGCTGCAGCCCAGGCTGGGGATTGTGACTGGGCTGTGCCAATGCTGCTGTTGGGACCAAAGCCAGAAATTCCTGGCTACAGGGTCTAGCCCTTCTGCTCAGGGTCAGACCGACACCAGATTTGGGGTCAGGAAGGAATTTTATCCCAGTCAGACTGGTGTGGACCGGGCAGGGGGCATAGCTTCTATCCAGGATCTCTTGAGTATGTATTAGTAACCTTTTTTATAGAAACAGGATGTTGGCTGCCATGGTCCTCCTGCTTTCCTTATGGCAGGTTTGGGTGATGTCTTGTGTTGTGTCAGGATTGATGGTAGCTTTATGGAGTGTTTATTAGACAATGGATGTGTATGGGTTGGTTTGGACAGGGATGCTCTTGCCTTGGGCAGGGGTTGGACTAGATGATCTCTGGAGGTCCCTTCCAGCCCTGCTGCTGTATGGTCGCTTATGCATATAACGGAACCAGACTGGTGCATGCATAATTTGGAAACTTCTCTTCCAGCGACATCTTTGATGCCATGTTTCCTGTCACCTACATCGCAGGCGAGACTGTGATACAGCAAGGCAAGTGCTGGGGTTGTGCTGCTAGCCCATTGCCAGGCTAGGGGAAGCAGTGTCCGTTGCTGGAGGGCAGTGGGGATGTTGTGTAGGTGCAGCAGTCCTGGCTGGCTCTTTAATGGTGAAGCATGGTTTATGCTAGAACCAGAGGAATGGGGACCGGCAGAGAGCCATCACCTCTGCTTTGCTTCACCTGCATGAAACTTCCTGGTCTGTGGCTCTGGGTGCAGCATAGGAACGTACTGGGTGGAGGGGCTGGGTCAGCCTCAGAAATGCTGCTCTTTTCCGGCAAGCAGCAGGAGTGGTCTTGCATGGGAAGGACAAAGAATGGGCCTGGATATGGGGGGTGGGAGCTCCAGCGGGGAGCAAGCCATTTAGCTCTACCCAGGGCCCTCCTGATGGGCTTGGGGCAAAGGGCTGATAGATGTATTGCAGAAATGAATGCTTGATGGTCTCATGCCAACTTAATAAAGAGTGAGGCTCTGCATGGCTCCTTACATGGGATGGTGGGGTCATTGACCCTTGTATGTGCTGTCTCCCCTCCAGGTGACGAAGGAGACAACTTCTATGTTGTGGATCAAGGGGAAATGGATGTAAGCAGCCTTCCCTGGGACATAGCAGAGGTGTTAGTGCGGCACTGTGGAGCCTTCCTGGGGAAGCCAGCGGGACTGTTTATTTTTTGACCCCTGTTGCACAAGGCTTTCTGGCAGGCTTGCCGTGGCGGGGGGTGGCCTACGAGAGCTGCTCTTTGCTCTTCATCCACGCGGCTCCTTTTGAAAAGCCTGGCAGGGGCTCCTGTCCTGCTGGGTTAGTGCTGCCTTCTGAGCCCAAGAAGGAAGCAGGGAGGAGCTGAGCCGCAATTAAACTGGCCTTGTCTCAGCCATGACACCCTGGAGCCTCCCTTGTTCCCCCAGCTGTAAAACTGGGGTTGAGAGTCCTTGGGTGGACAAAGGCGCGTGTAGTAAAAATAGCTGCGTGTGAGCTGGTAGTTCTGACGCTGGTGCCCAGGTGCCAGTGCAGCCCTGCCGTGGTGCTGAAATCCCAAGGACAGCACTTAAACACCGGCCAGCATTTTAAGTGAGCGCGTTTCCCTGAGGCCCCTTCAGCATGTGTTTTGACCATGGGGTGGAGGGATGGGAACTTCACCTGGTCTCTGCCCAGGCCTTCGCCCTGGCTCACTGCAGTGCCTTGCTTCACAGGTTTATGTGAACAACGAGTGGGCAACCAGTGTTGGGGAAGGGGGCAGCTTTGGAGAACTTGCCCTGATCTATGGGACGCCCCGGGCAGCAACTGTCAAAGCAAAGACAAATGTGAAGTTATGGGGCATCGACAGAGACAGCTACCGGAGAATCCTCATGGCAAGTTGTTTGTTCTTGTTTTGAACATGTGACTTGGGAGGTTGGTTCAGGGCCCAGCACAGGGCTTGATACTGCTCGAGTGATCATGCAAGTTAATTCAGGTTGCTTGGTCTCTGCTTTGTACCCCCTGTATCTCTGTGGGCCTTGGATAGTCACCTGGCCGTCACTTAGGCTGATCTGGCATGGGGGGAGGACTGGCATTCTGAGTGCCCTGCTAAATGCAATGTTTCCTGCCTTCCACGTGCAATGAGCAGAGATGCATTGATAACTGCTCTGCAGTAACAGCCCTTGGTCCTACCAAGCTTTGACCCCGCTGTCCTTCAGTTTTAGCCTGCTCGTTTGTTCTGCACCTAAATAAACAACAAGGAAAACCTTGGTCCCAGGTGAATCGAGGCACGTGTGTGTGTAACCGTTCATTCTTTCTGGAAAACCTGGGGGCAGAGCTTGCAACACTTGGCTGGACTGCATGATGAAAGGTGCAGAGCTTGTGCACTCCTGGCACCTGTTTTGAATCTTTCCTTGAACCACCAGAAATGTGAAGCATGAAGTACAGCTGTGCCTGGCGCTCACTTGCTTTTCTTTTTTTTAACAGGGAAGTACATTAAGGAAGAGAAAGATGTACGAGGAGTTCCTCAGCAAAGTCTCCATACTGGGTGAGTGTGGAGTTTGACTCCTCTTTGATAGAACGAGATGGAGCCACGAAACCTCTGTGGTGACTGTGTGAGGACCCAGTACAGAATCCTGCAGAGCGTGTGCTGCTTTCTACGGTGGTTGGTCATAAAGAGCTTGATCTGACAGGTGTCTGTCACCAGAGAAAGGTTTTTGCATGTGGGGACTGGGGAAAGGAAGGATGTTAAAGTGCTGTTGCCTTTATTTAGAATCTCTGGACAAGTGGGAGCGTCTCACGGTTGCTGATGCACTGGAGCCGGTGCAGTTTGAGGACGGACAGAAGATTGTGGTGCAGGGAGAACCCGGTGACGAGTTCTTTATTATCTTAGAGGTGAGTGAAGTGACTGGTGCTGGAGGCAAACTGACCCCTGGCTCCAGGACTTGTGTGCGATTCTCCTGGAGGGTGGCAGGGAAGGGATCCAGGTGACCAGTCACCGTCAGAAATCTGGTCATGACTGGGGCCAGCTTTTCTTTTTCTGCTCCTGAGAGTGAAGCCACTGTTTCAGGCCCCTCCAGCTGCTCAGACCCCTGTGAGTGTATCTCCGTATCTGATAGGAATGAAAGACTGCTTGTGTTTACCACCTTCAGATTAGCTGTGTCCTGTTCTGTGCTGCCCTCTGTCTCCCATTGGGCTGTTATCTCCAGGAATTATCCCGTAACTTCATGATGTTAGCAATAGCAAGCTTCATCAGCCCTTTTTTTAGCATTGCTAACATTGCTGATCAGGAGTCTCGAGCACTGCCTAACTAGAAGAGTAGAAATGTAATGCAGAGGTTTAGTAATGTCTTCTTGCTACTAGTATCGTTCAGTGTTGAGCATGCCCTGCTAGTCAGGTTGAGATGTGCGTAGAATTGCAGATTGGGATCTAGGATGAGTTCTGTGCAAGAGGTAAGTGCCATCCCAGGGGGGTTCAAAGAAGAAAGAAATGGAGGGCGGCGGCCGCCTCGGTATGAAGGTCTAGAGAAGTACATCTCACGTAGAATGGAGGCCTTTAATGGTAACCTGCGAGTGCACTGCACAAGTAGCATAAGTTGATTCTTCGAAGAATTTCAGATGTTTTGATGATGCTGGAAACCAGCAGTTACTGATCACTGATTTCTGTTCAAGGGCACAGCCGCTGTGTTGCAGCGTAGGTCGGAAAACGAGGAGTTTGTGGAAGTGGGCAGACTGGCACCTTCGGATTACTTTGGTGAGTTATGTTGCCGCATGTGTTTGGCTGTCCTGCTACCCTTGTTTCTTCCCCTGCATGGCTGGTGGGGTACTGCTTCTTCCATGCCTGTTGAGATGGCAGTGGTAATGCTGCTGAGTTGCCAGTCTGCAAATAGCTGTTTTATTCATTTTGTACCTATCCCAGGGATGCTCTGAGTGCCATGTACAGCTCTTAAGAGGCAGTGTGCATGGTGGGTGCATGGTGGGAGGATGGTAGGGTCTTAGTTCTAAGGTCTCAAACCTGTCCCATTATATCGGCCTCTCGACTTCATGTAGCGTTGGCTTAGTTAACTTGATTTGTTCTGGAAATTCTCATCTATCCACTGGTAGCAAAGGAATGTGTAGCAGGATACAATATAACAAATAGTGGGATGGAAAAGGTGAGCAAACAGACTTCACTTGAGACCGATTGGGCTTGTGTGTGTGTCTCCAACCCTTGTGAAAGGTGTCTCCATTTATTTTGGCTTTTTTAAGGTTCTGATGAAAAACGTGTCTGTGAGCAGCGATGTAATCAGGTGTTCTTTGCTCTAGACTCGTTTACATTTTGAAGAGACACTGATTTAATTTTTTAAACCAAGTTGCTTTCTTGTTTTAATTAAAAAAAGAAAAAAATGCTGTGCAGTGTGTGAATGTTGTTAGTGTCTGCTGAGACTGTACAGAGGTGTCCTGGGCACCAGCCCAGAGCAGGACGCAGTGATTGGGCCTTCTTTCCCTGCCCTGTCCTGCCTCTTGCAAGGAGTAAGTGCATTTTAGTCTTTCAGCTCTGCCGGGACTGTGACAAATTGATCACCCTCCTGCAGGGCCGAAGAGCGCAAGTGAGCTCCTGAGAACATGGTCCTCTTGTCCAGCCTGTGACTCGAGGAGCACTTTCTGATTTAAAAAGATGGTGGGCATCTTGGTATCATGAAGTAAATGGAGAAAAAAGCCATGCCGTCTTCCCCCCAGCCCTGCATGCATGCACTCTTTAGGAGCGGCTTAGTCACTGTGGCTACAACACAGATGCAGACCATTTGGGAGGAAATTGTTTCCCCGTTGACCACATCTGTTTTCTCCGTGCTCGGCAGTCAAGATGGGTTCTGAACGAACCTTCTGGTTTTGCAGCTGCCCTTTCGTGTAGCTGAATGATAGCTTATAAAGAAAGCAGGCCCTGCCTATAATCCCAAGATATGCCTGATTAAGGACCTCTTGTGTCTTCATAGTGTCATAGTTAGTAGAGTTGGAAGGGACCTGAGCAGATCATCAAGTCCGACCCCTGCCATGGCAGGAAAGAGTATGGGGGTCAAACGACCCCAGCAAGGCGATTGTCTAGCCTTGTCTTAAAGACCCCCAGGGTAGGATCCAGCACCAGATCCTAGCTGCCCTGACAGTGACGTAGCGCCTCCTGATGTCTAGTCTGAATTTACCCTCTGCCAGCTTGTGACCGTTATTCCTGGTCACTCCTGGTTGTGCTCGGGGGAGCAGGGACTCCCCCAATGCCTGCTGGTCCCCCCTGACTAGTTTGTAACAGGCCACTAGATCCCCCCTCAGCCTTCTCTTGTGGAGGCTGAACAGGTTCAGGTCCCGTAGCCTCTCCTCATAGGGCCTGCCCTGCTGCCCCCTGATCATGCGAGTGGCCTCCTCTGGACCCTCTCCATGCTGTCCACATCCCTCTTGAAGTGCGGCGCCCAGAA